GTGGGGCGGTGGCCGGAAAGGCGGAGGAGGTCGAGAAGGCGGAGGGCGGCGTCGGGGTTGGAGGAGGAGAGGGTTAGGATTTTGTGGGCCCAGATGGAGGGGTCGGCTTTTGGGTCTAATTCTGGGTCTCGTTCGTCTTGTTGCTGGTTCAATGGTGGTGATGAGAGTGAGATGGAGGTGAGGAGACGAAGGAAGCGGGTGGGTTTCAGGAATTTATGTAAGTGAGTGAGAGATGATGACGGGTTCATTTTAGGGGGATGAAGTTGAGTTGAAGAAGATAAACGAATCGCGGGAAATCTGTTTATTATGCTTTGTGGTGGGGAGTTTGGGAAAATTATGTCCAGGTCCTCGAATTTAAATAAATTCTTTTCATATCCACGTTTTTATTTTTTATTTTTATTTTTATTTTTATTTTTTGAAATACACTTTTATTTTTAAATAGTTCGAAATTTTAGCTATCAAAAATAATCATATCATATCATTCTCCCTTTAAAAGCACGAGTTGGGGAAATTTTTCTGTAGACAAAAATACCCCTATTAAGTTTGAATTACCCTATTTATAATCAAATTCTAATTTTTAAATTGAATTTAATGATTTATTCTATGTGTTTGTTGATTTGAATTGTTATCTATTTAGTTGGCTGTTAACTACCCGTGTTTTATATTAACTTCAATTATTAACTTTAAATAACTACCCGTGTTTTAATACTTTACACAATTTTAATATTATAACAAACTCCATATGGTCTTCAATTAAAAATAACTAGCCGTGTATAAAAATAATATTTTCCATAATTATACAATTAAAATTATATCTTGTAAGATATTTTCTTACAAGGTATCACTCTCTGTAGAAAATTAAAATTATATTTGCTCCATATCGTCTATTTTCCATATCGTCTTCAAGGCATTTTATACCAGCTAAATAACTACCTATGTTCTATTAACAAATTAGTTTGCTGTTAACTATTTTTAGGGATGAGTATTTGAAGCACCCGTAACACAATTCAAATCCTAATAAAACTCTAATTATGAATATTATCCTATCACATGCAATACCTCATGCTTATATATATAACCTAGAAATTACACAAATTTCATAGTAATTTCATCTTCTTCGACGTGTATGTTCCTTTTTCATTTTCATGGTTATTCTTTAGAAATATTATGTATTTGATTTAATGGTGAGATTTGTTTTATACTGCAATTACTTTTTATGGCAATTGATATTTTTTTAAAATTTCTTCAATTTTCATGCAGAATTTAGAAGATTAAGGATTTGATTGTTGCAGGTTCTCTCATCTATCAAGGTAAATCTTCATGTTTGATATTATTTTAATTTGGATTTATTTGAGCTTATATGTTTCCATTCAAAAGAAAATTATATCAAAACGAATGTTGACTAGAATATCAATCAAGTTTTTCAGAACTTCCCATTTTCTTTTTATTGTTGAAATCAGAAATTTCTTCTTTTCCAAATTTAATCTATTGTGCTTGAAGTAAAAATTCACTGAGAAACTTTGATGAGTTACTGTAGGATTTAAATACATAATACATTGTAATAATGAGTTACTGTACCTTTGATGCAAATTCGTAATACATAATACCCTCAGTGAGTAATCACTTCAATTATGGTTAATAGATATGCATTAGTTAGGTATTCAAAGGAATAGTAATCACTACACTCAGATCGAACCTGCGGAGCTCCTGATCGGCGCATTGCTTGCTCAGATCCACTAACAATACATATTACCAGCAGAGTCATTACTTTACCTCATCGTCGTTTTATATTAACTTTAATTATTAGCTTTAAATAACTACCCGTTGGTTTTTCATTATAGATTGTTAAATAACTTTAATTATTAATTATGGATGATGTGGAACTTCTTGTTTTAGTTTTCATTATAGATCGTTGCTATTATTGCCGAGTTCGGGTTCTGAAATGAATTTATGAAATTAGACGAGCTTGTGAATTAGGATTTCGAAAGAGAGGTTGACTGTGACCATGTTTCATGCATAAGTGGAAAATTGGACAAATTTTCAAAACCAACCCCTTTCACTATTTAATTACAAAAAACGACCGCTTTTCAACTTATTTAGAAAAATCGACCTGGTTTCAGCGTTGTCGCTGAAAACAGGTCGGTTTTTCTAAAAAAATTTACGAAACTTCATGGGAGTTGAACTCCCGTGAAGTTTAGCATACTTTTAAACTTCACGGGAGTTCAACTCCCGTGAAGTTTAATTTCTTCAAAAAACTTCACGGGAGTTGAACTCCCGTGAAGTATGTTGGAGGATTTAAAACTCTACGGGAGTTCAACTCCCGTGGAGTTACAGGCCAAATTTCTCAGAGAATCGCTCTCTAGGAAATTTAGACTGTAACTTCACGGGAGTTGAACTCCCGTGAAGTTGCAGGTTTTACAAAACATGCACAGGCTGCTGTGCATGTTTTGTATACATCTACCTATTTTGTATACATCTGCCTATTTAACTCATATATACAACTATTTACCTGTTAACAACAATTACTACAATATATATATGATTTAAACACGCACGAATCAAAACAATACTAAAAAAGATCACATATCAAGCTATAATTGATCCACAAAAGTATAGTATTTGAAAATTCATACAAGTTACAAATTTTAACAAAATAAGTTCAAATATAATCCAATATAGCTCCTCTCCTTCCTCTCCCTCTTTTCCCCCTCCCCCTCGCTCTTCCCCGCCCTCGCGCTGATGAGCCTCGACTATCTGAGTATCCGGCTGTGTATGAGGCTGAGAAGCGTTGGCTCCATGATCATGCGAAGTGCCGGCTCCATCAGCCTGTGAAGTGTCGGTGTCATCGTCATGTGGCCGTCGGCGCCGAGTGTACGCTTGCCCAAATGATCGAGACCTATCCTCACGGCCTGTGAACTCGTCGACGTGAGTCTTATGAAACACCTGCGCTATGGTCTTCTTGATCCTGCTGAGGAGTCCTAACGCCACCTGATCCTGAATCTCAGGCACGGTCGCATCAATATCAGCCTCAATGCTATCAAAAGCACGGACCTGTGAGGTAAACAATTTATTAAGTACCAACTCCTCAAGAAAAAAATATTATAATTTAGCTTAGAAACTTACGTAATCTCTCTCGTTCATCCCACTAGGGATGTAACTGTCTGTCGGTGGGCGTGGCATGTGTCCAGCTAATGGCTGTGGGTCACGTGTGATCCATCTACGTGTGATACCCTAATACCAATGTATATACGCGATATAGTCAACAGCTATGGGCCTCGTATCCTGGATGAAATCCTACCTGTAAGCCCACCTGTCTATGTAGACCGCATGGACTACGGCCCAGTCGGTATGGTGAGAAGTAGGTCGCCACCGATGATCGATCTGCTCGATAGAATCTTGCACATGCTGAGAGAGCGTAAACTGTCGTAGCACACGGTCAGGGACATGCATCTCCACGATCTCCCAACAAATCAATGGAACTCTGGCTCTCCATAAGTCGGGACTATCTCGGCAGATGGGTGCAAGAGAATGCATATCGAGCTCCGGTGGTGTATAGGGTCTCCACTTGAACTGAAATAAAATAAAACATTTATCAGTATCAACAACAAAACTATAATATTCATAACGACTTGAGATTTATATTTACATGTTCGTGTATTTATCAGTATCAACAACAAAACTATAATATTCATAACGACTTGAGATTTATATTTACATGTTCGTGTTAGAGGCCATCAAGCTCATTTCGGTAAAACTCACAATGACGCGTCGCTGATCGGTACTTAGCGTACCGCACGTTATACCTATATGCAGAATAGAGAATATATAAGTAAAAATTCAGCACGAATAAAATTTGTGTGTACAATTATACCTGTACGCCAAAGGAAACTGCCCCTGTAGGTCACGGTGCACAAGTAAAGTAGGGCGTCCAATATGAATGCACTCCCATGACCAAATCTGTATTAATGTGCAACATCCCTTGAATTTTTTATTCTGCATCAGGGATACTCTACCCAATTCTCGATACAAGTATGCCAACACCATACTACCCCACGACCGTACGCCGCATACGTCAAAATCCTCTAGCAACGGCAGTCATCGTGCATGTACAAGAGTCTTGCTCGCATCAGGAAAAAGCACGCACCCTATCATGTGCAATATGTACGCATGAGCATGGAACTGAAGCGTCTCTATACTGGCATCCTCTGGTATGTCACCCTAAAATGTCTGACGAAGCCACGATAGCTTCATCGCACCACTCCTCCAGTCAGGAACCTGTCCAAGAAGCCTAGCACATACCTCCGACC